GCGAGCGTGTAGTAGACTTATTTCTCTGGCACACTTTACAACTGCGGACATACTCTATGCAGTCATTCTTCATCCCTAGCCAGGTATACGCACGCATCAGGTTGGCTAATGTCTTTTGCCAACCGAAATGCCCTTCAGTATCGTGGCATTCCCCTAAAACCAAATTGCGGATCTCTTCGCTGTTGGGAACGCACAGGCGGTCAAACACATTAGTCTTCTCAAACAACAACCCGTCTGCAGTGCGGTAATCTGGTTCAGTCTCTGGGGCCTCTCTAACTCTTTTTAGGAGGTCGCTATAGATAGGGTCCTGCGCATATGCTTGCCTCACTTTCTCCTGCAGGTCTCTCCCTATATCCAGATAGTGTACTACAGCTCCAAAGTAGTCTGATCTCCTACTCAGAGCATCCGCAACTACGTTGTACTTGCCCTTCACTGGCTTGAGCTCAAAGTCGAATTGGTCTATCTCTGCGGCCCACCTAGTCAACTTAGGTGTCATCTTGGCCTGAGTCTTTAACCATCTAAGCGTTTCGTGGTCCGAATACACTTTGAAGTGCCTCCCAAGCAGATAGTGCTTCCAATGATCTAAAGCCTGCCTGAGAGCGTAGAGTTCTCTCTCGTACGTGGAGGTAGCGACCTTCTCACAGGGCATCCTCGCGGACATGAACTCTACGGGTCTATAGCCATTGCCGTCGTCTTGCTGCAACACGGCGCCTATCCCATACTGACTCGCGTCCGTGGTGACGACAAATGGCAAGGACGGATCTGCAACCTTGAGGACAGGATACTCTATTAACGCGCGCTTTACCTTCTTGAGCGCAGACGTACAATCTTTATCCCATTGCCAGATTGTCTCTTTCTTCAACAACCTGCGCAAGGGAGCGGCGATAGTGGAGAAGTTCCTCACGAACTTCCTGTAGTAGTTAGCTAGGCCTAGGAACGACCGCAATTCTTTCAATGTGCGGGGCGTCGGCCAATCTCTAATCGCCGCTATCTTGCTGTCCTCTGGCTTAATGCCATCTCCGTCTAATACGTGGCCCAAGTACAGGACTTGTGTCTTGGCCCACTCGCACTTTTTCGCGTTGATCTTGAAGTTAGCCTCTTTAAGCTTCCCCAAGACCTGCCTCAGATGACCCTGATGCTCCTGGAGGGTCTTGCTAAAAACTAAGATGTCATCTAGATAAACTACTACGAACTTATCGAACCACGGTCTGAACAGGTCATTCATACAACGCTGGAAGGTAGTTGGCGCGTTGGTTAGTCCAAAGGGCATCACTATGAACTCATAGTGCCCGTATCTAGTCCGGAACGCAGTTTTGTACTGATCATCAGGATGAACCTCTATCTGATGGTATCCGGACTTTAAATCTATCTTAGAGAAATACTTACAACCCTGCACCCGATCTAGAAGATCGTCAATTCTGGGCAGCGGCTCAGCATTCTTCACTGTGATCGCATTCAACCCTCAGTAGTCTAGACACATACGAAGTTCTCCTTCCTTCTTGGGGACAAACAAAACTAGTGCTCCAAAAGGAGACGAACTGGGCCTGATCCAACCTTTCTCAAGGAGCTCGCCTAACTGTTTGCGAAGCTCCTCTAACTCTCTAGGGGACATCCTGTAGACYGCACCCTTAGGAGTTCTACTGCCAGGCTCTATCTCTATCATGTGCTGGATGGGTCGCGGCATTACTCCTGTCGGCGACTCAGTCAAATCTTAGAACTCTTCCAGCAGCTTGGCAATTGTTGGATTTGTGGAACTATCCTTTTCCTGGCCCTCAGTGACAGGTCTAACATATACCACAAAGACTTGTTCCTCTAACTGCTCCTTTCTTACTAATCGCGCGAACGCGGGAGCACTGAGACAGCAATGCGCCAAGGTGTTATCTACACCGGACGCATGGAACAGGCGAGCAGTCTTCACTTCGCCTGACAGACTAGGGAGCCTACACTCATGCTCTCTCAACTGGAGTGTGGCCCCTGCTGCCTCTCCCCAATCCATTCCTAACACTACATCGAAAGGAAGGTCATCTTGCACGAGGAGAGTCAGGGAATGGAGAACTTTCTCCACCTTCCCATCCTTCTCTAGGCGAAAGTACGCCTGGACTCCCTTTACATAGTCCTCAACGCGCATCGTGCGGTTGTGTGCGAGAACACTGACTATAGGGTCTATTAACTTCTGGACCATTAGTCCTAGCCTCAGCTTCTTCAGCGCCCTACGGCTGATATAACTACGGGTAGCCCCTGAGTCTATAAGGGCCCCTACCCTACTCCTAAACACCTCTACATCTACCAAAATCAGTTGTCCTTTACTCTCTCTCTTCATTTTGGCCCAGGCTGGCATCCTCTCCTTTAACTCTTTTGCCACACCTGTGAGGGACGTGCCTAAAGAGACGCTAACACAGGCGGTCTCTGGACAGCTATCTAGGCACGGGCCTGCAACCTCTGCCATAGGCTCATGTGGGTTGGGAGTGTC